CCTCGGTGACTTGTGAGGATGTGCCCTGCCGGGGTGGGGGAGGCGGGGACTGGGACCCGGTGCCAACGCTCGGCGTGTTTCCCAAGGTCTTAGGCACACCCGGAGTACCGAAGGTATAGCTAGGGATTACGTTCAGGTCCGCTGCTAGGGCGCCTCGATGCGGAGTCCTTGCTTTTTTGTCATGAAGGCGGGCTAAGAGGACCCGCCGGAGACGGAGGCCCTGCAGGATGGAGCGCCAGACTTTGAGGCGCGCCCCCGCACCCCCAGAGTGGCCAGCCACCTTGCCTTAGCCAGGTTGGACACGGGTTGGTGTTTTTTTCCTCGGGCAAAGGGCGGAGGGAGAGGACTTGGAGAGTGCGGCGTTGGCATTTCTGGTGCAATACTGCCATCAAGAGGAAAGGCTCGACCGATCCCGCGAACCCTGCGCTGTCCCCTCCTGGGGAGGACTGACGAGGGAGTGACGTCGGGGACAAGGGACAGTGTCCCCTAGAGATTGAAGGCTCCGCCAGGCGCGGCGGGGAGGCGTGGCCCAAGGCCGGGTCTCGGGCCCTGGCAGCTCCAGAGACAGGCACCGGGACGAGGCGCACGGCCCCGGTGCCCGGCGGGTCGGGCACAGGAAGCCGAGGCTCGGCTCCCCGGTGGCCGCCATGTCTGGGCGGGGCTCTCAGGAGCCCGGCGGGGCCGGGGGCTGTGAGCCTTTGGCCGTGTGCCCCTTCCCCTCCAAGCGTGAGCGGGTTGGGCCCCGGAAGCCTCTCTCGGCCACCCAACGGTGCAGCCCTGCCAAAGACCACCGCGGGCACCAGAGTTGCGTTGCCATCGGCGGCCTTAGAGGCGGGCCCAGTGACGTTCTTCTGTCCAGCGTGTGGAGCCTGGCTACCCAGTGCCAAGGGGGCCTGAGGCCCAGCGAGAGTACGCACTGAGAGTTCAGAAGGGAACGGCCCTCACCGGGACGGAGGAGCCGGGGCGGGAGGAGAATCGAATTGGCAGCTGCAGGGCCAAGCTTCCCGGTGTTAGCTTCTTTCACAGCACCTGGTAGTCACAGCTCGTTGGTGCAGAGGCCTCTTAACGGTAGGGTCATGTGTCCCCTCCAGTCTCCTGGGTTCACCAGAAAGAAATCAAAGGGCATCTCCAATAGTGGCATTAAGGATAACTTGGCCACATCCTAGAGGAAAATCCCCTATCCCTCAAAATCAGTGCCGTGGTACCTGTGTTCGGCCACAGAGGTGATAGCTAGTGTGTAATTCACAAAGAATCATCAGGCTGCCGGTTATTTGAGGTTTTATGTCTCCATTTGGGCCGAAAGGAATCGTTTTTTCAAGATATTCATTTATATTCCCCCATAGTCACAGAAGCAGAGATGAGTAGCTTGATCATGTGCTCTTAGTTTTTGTGGCCCTCTTGTGGCCAACAGTGCATTGATCTTGTTTGGCCATATTTCTTCAAATGTTCTCCTGTTTGGACGCACCCTAGTGGAACACCACTCTGAATTCTTGGGGTCAGTAGGATCCCTATGGTTGTGGTGGTAGCAGGTCTTGCTTTGTTTCTCTTTTCAGCTCTTAAATGCGATTTTACAGTAGTACCTAGAAATAAAAGCCTTCGGCTCAAATGGAGCTTGCTAGGTATTTCCGAAAGAAAATGCTCCTCATCATTATGAGCCAATGTTTAGGACAGGAGGAGTCCATGTTGCTTGCCATGAAATTGGGTTGGTGGGATATTGGAATGATTGGTAATCATCTCGGATTTCTTTTTGTTGTGATGAAAATGTTCTAAAATTGATTTTGCTAATGGGTGCACAGCTCTTAATATAGTAAAAACCATTGAATTTTTTACTTTAAAGAAGCGACTTTACAGATTGTTTTGCAGAGAATGCAGTATTCAGAAGGAATTTTTAAGAAGAAACTTCTTAAATCAACAACCTAACCTTCCACTTAGAAATCAGAAAAAGATAAGCTAGCTAAACCGAAAGCTATCAGAAGGGAAGAAAATAATAAAGATTAAGGCAGGGATAAATGAAATAGAGAAAAAAGGAATGAAGAAAACTAAAAGTTGGTTCTTTGAATTGAATAGAAAATTGACATATCTATAGCTAGACTGAATAGAGAAAATGTGATTAGAATTAGTAATGCAAGTGAGACATCACTGCTGATCCAACAGAAATTAGAAGGGTGATACAATTGTATTATGAATAATTGTACACAACAAATTATATAATTAGGTGAAATTATCAGAAAGACACAAATTACCAAAAGCAACTAAAGAAAATATAGGAAATTTGGACACACAGATAATAAGTAAAGGAATTGAATATAAGTAATCAAAATCATTTGTAATTTTATTTATTTATTTATTTTTTCCGCCAAGGCCCCAGTAGATAGTTGTATGTCATAGCTGCACATCCTTCTAGTTGTTGTATGTGGGACGCGGCCTCAGCATGGCCGGAGAAGCGGTGCGTCGGTGCACGCCCGGGATCCGAACCCAGGCCGCCAGCAGCGGAGCACGCGCACTTAACCGCTAAGCCACGGGGCCAGCCCAAAATCATTTGAACAAGTGTAAACCCTGTATAAGATCTCTTTCCTTATACCAGTCATTTTAAAGGGGAATTAACACCAGTCCTTCTCACATCTTCCCAAAACAGATCAAGGAATACATCTGTATTAGTTAGGGTTCTCCAGAGAAATGGAGCCATATACAGAGGGAGATAGATTTATTTTATGGAATTGGCTTGTGTGATATCGAAGTTGATAAGTACAAAATCTGCTTATTAGGCTGGCACGCTAGAGACCCATGAAAAAGTTCATGTTACAGCTGCTGTCAGTGTGGAGTTAGAATTCCCTCTTCCTTGGAAGACCTCTGTCTTTTTTGTTTTAAGGCCTTGAATTGATTGGATGAAGCCCACCTACCTTATATATAGTAATTTGCTTTAATTATTGAAATGTTAATCTCATCTAAAAAATACCTTCACTTCAAGTTTAGACTGGTGTTTGACCAAATATCTAGGTGGTATGGCTTAGCCGTGCTGACACATAAAATTAACACTTACACCATCCTATGTCATTATTTGTAACCAACATTACCCTGATACCAAAGCCAAGCAAAAATAACACAAGAAAACTATAGATCAATATCTTATATGAATATACACATAAAAATCCTCAACTAAATGGTAGCAAAGCTAATCCAACAGCATATTAAAAGATTAAAGACCAGGAACAAGTGAGATTTATTCCAGGAATGCAAGGCTGGATCAACATAGGAAAATTAATCAATGTAATATACACTTAAAATAGAATGAAGGTGAAAAACTACATGATTATCTCAATTGATGCAGAATAACCACTTGACAAAATCCAGTACCCTTTTATGATAACACTCAATAGAAGAGAAATAGAAAGAAACTTCCTCAGCATAATAAAGGGCATATGTCAAAAACCCACAGCTAATGTCATACTCAATGCTGAAAGACTGAAATCTTTCCTGTTAAAATCAGGAAGAAGACAAGGATGTCGGTTATTGCCAGTTCAAGATTTTACTGGAAGTTCTAGCTATAGCAGTTAGGCCAGAACATGAAATAGAAGGCATCCAAATTGGGAAATCTTTTTGCAGGTGACATAATTCTAATACATCAAGTATCCCAAAGAATCTTCAAAAAAAATACTAGCGCTAATAAATGAATTTAATAACGGTATAGAATAAAAGATGAATATGCAAAACTCACTTGGGTGGGCCATAAATGCAACTGCATGTATCCACTCGTGGCAGAGGGAAGTTTACACACAGACACTAGGAGGAGAAGGCAATGTGAAGACAGAACAGATATGTGGCTGTGAACCAAGGAATGCCAAATGTGCTGGAAGCTGGAAAAGGCAAGGAATAGATTGTCCCCTAGAGCCTCAAGGGAGTATGGTGCTACCTACACCTTTATTGTGGACTTCTGCCCTCCAGAACTGTGAGAGAGAAATTTGTTTTTATAAACCACCTAGTTTGTGGGAATTGTTATGGCAGCCATCAGAAACTACCACTTGACTGTTTCCTCTTGGTCTTCTACATGAATTTCATATTCCCTATGGAGTTTCAAATTATTGAGATACTGAACTGAAAGAGGAACATAAGACGGTGAGCTCACAAAGGAAAGCAAGAGTCAGCAGTCATATTCTCTAACATTATATCATACTTGTACACAGCTATGCAGTTATTTTCGTATTAATGACTTGGTGGCTAGAAGATGCCAGAAACCTCTAGTGAAAAATTTGCCTTTTGGCTGGCCTTGTGGCTTAGCGGTTAAGTGTGCGCACTCCGCTACTGGCGGCCCAGGTTCGGATCCCGGGTGCGCACCAACGCACTGCTTCTCCAGCCATGCTGAGGCCGCGTCCCACGTACAGCAACTAGAAGGATGTGCAACTATGACATACAACTATCTACTGGGGCTTTGGGGAAAAAAAAAAGAGGAGGATTGGCAATAGATGTTAGCTCAGAGCCGGTCTTCCTCAGCAAAAAGAGGAGGATTAGCATGGATGTTAGCTCAGGGCTGATCTTCCTCACCAAAAAAAAAAAAAAAAAAAAATTGCCTTTGACCAGGGCCAGCCCCATGGCATAGTGGTTAAGTCCGGCATGCTCCACTTCAGCGGCCTGGGTTCGTGCATTTGGATCCCAGGTATGGACCTACACCACTTGTCAGCTATGCTGTGGCAGTGAACCACATAAAAAATAGAGGAAGATTGGCACAGATGTTAGCCCAGGGCAAATCTTCCTCAGCAAAAAAAAAATTGCCTTTGACCATTTGATTCTCTTCATGGAGAATCAAGTCATTCAGTTCAAGAATCAATACATGAAGTTCAGATTTATGCATTTATTTCTGCTTCATTTCCTAAGTTAGAGCAGGAAGTGATCCTGGAGCAGGAGGTCCCCAAAGTGATGGTGGTGGATATGGTATATAGTAGAGGTAAAGGAGTTGGAGGAGGAGGACCAATTCCTGTGGGTGGAGTTGGCACTGGTAGAGCTGGTGGTGGGGATCCAGTGAAGGTCCTGGAATTTATGAGCAACCTGTGAGTCCATGCTCCTGTAATATGAATAATCCAATGTTTAAATGCTTGCAATAGAATATGCAGCCCAGAATATATAGGAATAGATGTTTGTAGTTTTTATAGATTATACACTGCTTATTAATTTAGCAGCATTCAGGGATTTAACAGCACATGCAAAGGACTTGTATAGATATTTGATGAGCATTTTAAACACTACACGATGACTACTTCTGCTAACACTCTAATGTTAAGAGAGTTGGCATCCTTATCAAAGGCCTTGTGAAATACTACTTCAAAATAATGAAAACTTAGATTTTATGATAAACATATGCAAAGAAGAATTACTCTGTATGGCTTGGGCCTGTTGGACTAGGTTGTTTCAAATATGGGTAATACAAGGTTATGGTTTGATCCCTAAGGGGGCACAAAGAACCTGTCTTATAGCAGCAGTGACCGAGCTGTTTTCTGATGCCAATAATTAATCATAAGTAATATTCATTTGCATAGGAATAATGCTTATCAAAACTTTATCCTCGTTTTTGATCCTCATTTTAACCCTATAATGTAGGTAGGGTAAGTAGTTTCATCTCACTGCTTATAGAAGAAGAAACAAACTCCAAAGTTTAAGTGACTGATAATATTCACATAGTTCATTCGAAGCATGATTAGGATTTGAATGCAGTTCTTCTCACACTTAATTCAGTTCCCTTTCTGATATAGCAGATAAACTCATATGCCATGTGTCGTGAGCTGAGGACAGAACTATGGGGAAAGCCCCATTGGAGGGGTGAAGAAGGGGAGAGAGCCTGGCTTAGTTCTCAGAGATGTAAAAATGAAAGTAGGAGGATTCAAAAAATGAACGCATTATTGAAAAGAAATCATCTAATATTATAGATATAGTGAAGCAGAATGAGGCTAGGGAAAGGCCACCAGATTGGGTCATTTGCAGTTCACTGTTGACTTTTGACATAACTATTTTAGTAGAATGCTGATTACAGGGCAACTTAAGAAACACACACTTAGTGAGCATCTACTATATTAAGATACGATCTTTACATTGTGCACATTCTCTCCAAACATGAGCTGTCTTGAGGAGAGCACTTAATCAGTTGTAAAGTATAAGACAATCTACTTAAGATTGTAAGTATCCATGGGAGCTTTTGTGAAAGAGAATGTAAGTTGGAATGTAAAGTTTACAGGTTTTGAAATGATGGTAGTCAAGATTACAGAGGTATACAAAAGAATTAATCACTCCTTTTTTCATATTCCGTCAGGACAAATGTCTTGAGGAGAGTACTTAGTTCTAAAGTTTAGACCCCCTAATAAATATTTTAAGTGTATAATGAGATCTTTTTGTCAGAGATAATGTAGGTGGATATATAAAGTTTTCTTTTTTGAAATAATGGTAGAAATTTAAAGAGATGTAAAAAGCTTTTGGAATTATTAAAATTATTGAGGTTCTTTTTTAAAGGAAATACTGTGGACCCAATTTTTTTAATCATCATGAAAATTTCCTCTCCACAGTTTTGCTTCTATAACATATTCTGTCATAACATTCAGGGCAATTTAAAAAAACCAGTGAGTTTTCTCCCACATGAAAATGATATATTATTTTGGAAAATCGTATCTATAGAGTTATTTAAACTAAAATGTGTACTTGCTAGTAAGTCTGCTTTTGGTCACATTTTTCTTCCATCTGACAAGATAATTTTCTATCATCTAACTCACTGTGACAGGACAAAAAGTCTATGTAGTTTGATTACCTTGGTTTGATGTTGCTGGAATTCTGTTCCAAGGTCTTTGAATTTTTATTCCTTTTTTTGCATCTCGTCTTGAGCTTCCAGTCAGGTTCTGAATTCTTCGTGTTTCTTCAATGATCACCACTATAAATGTACACATATTTAAAGTTTTCCTGAAACTATTATGTATTAAATAAATGGAGCATTTTTTGCCTGTTGAAGTCTCAGACACTCAGAAATTCAAGGGGTTCTTGATTATTTTCATGACAATTAAGTACCCATGTGGAAGAGTGAGGGCAGGGCTGGTGGTAGTAGTGGTAGCAAGATGAAATATGCTCCTGACCTAAGGTAAAAACCCCATTCCCACTTCTGGAAAATAAAAAATGAGAGGACCGAGTAGTTTTTCTGCATATATCACTGACACATTTATTGTTTTGCTGTTGAAAATGAAGTCTTAGACATTAAATAAAATCAATTAGAAAATGAACCCTAATAATAAACCATTAACACCAAATGCTGGTGAAGATGTGGAACAACAGGAGCTCTCATTCATTGCCAGTGGGAATGCAAAATATTCTAGCCACTTTAGAAGATAGTTTGGCACTTTTATACAAAAGTGAACATACTCTTACTATAACATCCGGCAATCACGCTTGTTGGTATTTACCTGAATGAATTGAAAATATACATCTACACAGAAACCTGCACACAATTGTTTATAGCAGCTTTATTTATAACCATCAAAACTTGGAAGCGACCAAGAGGTCCTTCATTAGGTGAATGGATAAATGAACTGTGGTACATCTAGAAAATGGAATATAAATGGAATAAAGGAAATGAGCTATCAAGCTACAGAAAGACATGGAGGAACCTTAAATGCATGTTGCTAAGTGAAAGAACACATACTGTAGAATTCCAACCATGGGACATTCAAGGAAAGGCAAAAACTATGGAGGCAGTAAAGAGATCAGTGGTTACCAGGAATTCCACGAGAGAGATGGGGAGATGAATAGGTGGAGTACAGAGGATTTTTTTTAGGGCGGTAAAAGTCTAATGTGTGATACTGTAATGGTGGGTACATATCATTATGTATCTGTCACAACCCATAGAAGTACAACACAAATGGAGTTTCATACCTGTTGTAACAAATGTACCACATTAATGCAAGCTGTTAATAATAGGAGAAACTGGAGGGAGGGAGTAGGCAAGGGTTATATGGGAACTCTGTGCTTTCTACTCATTTTTCTATCAACCTAAAACTACTCAATAAAGTCTATTACTTTTTTTTAAAAAGCTATCAAGCAGTTCAATTTTTTAACTGTATAACCTTGAAAAGAGATTACACTGATAGAATGCTCAATGAATGTACATTAATAGAAATTAGAATCTTTCTACTACAACCTTAATTCTCTAGCATCCAAAAAGAGGTGCTTCACAAAATCTGAGTGTAGAATGATATATGCCTTCTCAGATGAATAACCAAAACATTTGTATAAAATGTTACAAGAGTGAAGGTGAGAGGTTAAAATACGGTGCTAAGCCAAAGAGACCATCTGTGAACTTTTTTTTGAGATCATAATAGTTTATAACATTGTGATATTCCAGTTGTACATTATTATTTGTCAGTCACCATATAAATGCACCTCTTCACCCCTTGTGCCTGTGCCCCAACCCCCTTCCCCTCTGGAAACCACCAATCTGTTCTCTTTGTCCAAGGTTTTTTTTTTTTTTTTAATTTTTTGTTTATTGCAGTAACATTGGTTTATAACATTGTATAAATTTCAGGTGTACATCATTATACTTCTATTTCTGCATAGATTA